AAACCTATTTTTACCGCTAAAGATTTCCATATGGAAAAAAGTATCAGCAGAACAGAAAAACAACAAGCTAATTTATGGCGGTTGCTTTGAAGCAATAAAAATTAAATTGGATTTATAACTGATTTTCACCAAAGCGTAATAGAACTGCTAGAATACAATATTACTCTTTAAGAGGCTATGAGAACCTTTTGTAGAGTATGGAGCTTTATTACAAAAGGTTTTAAGACAGCTTTATTGTGATTCTCAATCATGCTTTATAAACCTTATCAAGGGTGGTCCACTAAGCTGGAAAAAGATTGTATAGCGGTTATCATAAAATTGATCTCAAAAACCACTAATAGAGTGCAATCAAACAAGAAATGCTACTTGGGATATGCTCTCGCCGAAAGAAATAAAATGCTTGTACTAGTCACATGTTCACTCTCAAATAACATATATGAATATAATTGGCACAATGATCCAGTTTATGTCATAGACAAACTTGCAATCACTTTGAACAAATGTATGCGCAGAATATTCTGGGAGCAATATAATAATCCTGAAACATGAACATCTGATCTATATTTGAAAAATTACATGTTGAATACGTATCAAGTTAATTTATGAACTATAAATTATTTGAAGATGCTAATTTCAAATAACAGACTGTAGTCGTAATTTTTATGCGATAGATGGAGTAGATGAAAGCATAGAGTTGATAGTTCCGTTAGAGTACGGCAGTGTGAAGATTGTATATAGATATTAGAATAGCGAACTAGGACAACTTTTAAGGAAGGTACAAATCGGTTTTTTCATCTCTCTTTACCAAACTCCCCCTTTGGAGAGGGATGGTGAGGGGTGTCCCCCCCGCCACCACTGGCAAAAAGAGATGAAAACCGACCCGCTCAAGTACCAACTGTGTGTTTGAAACAGTTCTACCGATTTTTTACCGCACTTCAGTTATTATTTGAAGGAAGGCATCCAGTCGTAGGTTTGGAAATTGCAACTATTGTTTACCTCTACCACGATATGTGCTCCTGTCATCGTCGACTTGACGATCTCGAGGGGACACAGGTGGGGTAGGTGCTGCTACTGTACCTTTCGACCATTGACAGTAATTGATGGTATGCTCCCATCCAGAGTTATGTACTTTGACTATATGTTTTTAGTATTACTTAGGGGGAGTTTGGTAAAGAGAGATGAAAAAACCGATTTGTACCTTCCTTAAAAAGTTGTCCTAGCTCGCTTGTCTAATATCTATATACAATCTTCACACTGCCGTACTCTAACGGAACTATCAACTCTATGCTTTCATCTACTCCATCTATCGTATAAAAATTACCACTACAGTCTGTTATTTGAAATTAGCATCTTCAACTATGTAAATCGTTGACTTCACGTAGAAGTAATACTAAAAACATATAGTCAAAGTATAAATTAATATTATTATTTTTATTATAGTCTCAATGAAACACTTAAATCTGAATGTAGTCACTCATTAAAAATTAAAAATTGGCCAACAGCAAACGATGACGAAACCTGGAGGCATTGATGTCAAAGTCAAAAAGGTCAGAGGCTTCGTTCAATTGATGAATCATGGTGACAAAGAAACTGTTTGCAGCATAGTTGGTTGCATGTACTACTTCATGTAGCAAGGTTCTCGGACGGAGTGTTCGGGCAGGAACATACCGATTAATTTTGGCCAGTAACTCAGAAACATCATATTCTGCGAGCTTTAGCAACGAAGACGACCTGCGATATGTTTCGTCGCTTAGCAATAGTATCCAAACCCAGTAAACGACAGCGGTCAGCATACGGTGGTAAATTCAATAAATCAACTTTAAATGCATATCATTAGGGAAACACATTGATAATCAAAAATAAAATTAAATATTATTGTATTGGTTTAGGATATAATTTGAACTGAAATTGATTTAGGAGATTTTACGCCTGAGATGGAAACATGATTATTATTGCATAAAATATTTCCACCTTGGCTTTTTCCCTTCCCGGAAAAATAAATGAAATAGATATGATAAATTCAAACTGGAGCAGTTTTTTATATAAAATTATTGCACGTTAAACGATAAGTAATTTAAACTTAAATTTACACGTTCATGCATATTTACATTGTTGTTCGATGTAAATTCAATTAATATGAATTGAACTTTTCACTGTGATATAAAAATACAGATACAAGTGAAAATCAATGCAAATGAATGGATTATCAAATACTTCGACGTAAAACTAAAGCTGTATTGCTGTATGTTTCAACTGAAGCTAGAAAATACACCAATGTGCCAAATGTAAATTTATTGTGCAAAATGTGTGCCTTGAAAAACGACTCTTGTGTAAAATTTGGACTAATTCGGTCGTAATTTCAGGTGCGAAAAACCGTCAAAATTTGAAAACCGAATAATCACCCAAGGAAAGGTGAAATATCGCACATCGATTTGTTTTAAACTGAATGACTTAAAAATGCATGAATCGTCGAGATCTGGAGCTATCTTGAACATTTTTAATATGTCAAAATCGACTTTCTGGGACTTCCCAAGCTTTTCACATAACTAGTATATCATTTTAAAAAATCACCAGTACCTCAAGACCAACAATTGCAAACGCCTCAGCTCCATTTTGAAAACAAGTTGCAAGCCATCGTAAAATAATAAAAATGAACAGGTACAGGTATATTTGGGCAAAAATCAAATTTTTCTCCACATTCATAAAAAAGCGGCGCCGGTGGTGTAGTGGTAAGCGTGATTATCTCTCACCCCAGCAGGCCTGGATTCAATTCCAGTCTGTCCCAGTCAGTTCTGAGGTATAACATCTCTGATCACGCCTTCCTTCGGAAGGGAAGTAAATCCGTTGATCCTCGGTCCAGGTATGGGAGCTACCTCCCTGGCGTCGGTAGCATTGGTGCTCAGCACGGAATACAAGATCGATGGAAAACAAATCAAGGAAAAAAAATCATCTAAAAATAATCTAGAACATAAAATATCCATCTGCCATAAGAGATGCACTGTTATTTCATTACCATCCATTGCTAGAATTCTATATAGGGGAAATGGCTCTAATGTTGGTCTAGGGATCTAAGATTGGGCCCATCGCTAAAAATTTGCTATTTATCAATTATATCTAGATGAATGCGTCATTGGGACGGTACCGTAAAACGGGGTAACATTGATAGTTTTTTAAAGTATTTTCTAAATATTTTTTACAGCAATGAATGTTTTTCAAATTTTATATTTTTAAAACAAGTACTGAGGATCCAAGAGTAAATTCGATAGTAATATGTTGAGCGAAAATTAAAGTATTTGCACTATTTTTTTAGTTTTGTGACCGAACTTCAGTATTTTGATTTGGGGTTATTTTGATAATGCTCGGTGAATGTAGAAAAAAATGAGTGAAACTCAAACAATTTAGTTCATTTAATATGAAACTTTGAATGAGTATATAATCAGAAAACTTCATAAGCAATAAGAATACAACATTGAATTTGTGATGGCTGTATCGGAAATACATTTCATAAGTGATGGTTTGAGTGCATTTTCAAAAAGGCGAAATACACGAAAATGGTTTTTTAATATTTTTGTAAAATATGTAGCACATACTATATAAAATCTATATACTATTTCAACGGAAATACCCTAAGCTACAATATGGAACCAATGTTTCTTATTTGGAAAAAGCACAACTAGTAAATTTATTCTTTATATTATACTATCACAGTTATCCGCATTATCAAAGATACCCCGTTTTACGGTACTAATAGATATTTTTGGTCGCCAATTTAAAATTTAGTCGATTTCTGAATTTATGTATGGGCCCAAATTAGGAGCATTTAGACCATTTACATCCATTTTCCCTATGTATAATATTTCCGGGAAGGCGGGAAATAGGGGAAATGGATGTAATGTCGGCCTTAATGCCCCGAATTTGGGCCCATACATAAATTCATCAATCGACTAAATTTTCAATAGCGATCAAAAATATCAATTAGTACCGTCCCAATGACGCGTTTATCTAGATAAAATTGAAAAATAGTAGATTTTTAGCGATCTACCCAATCTTAGATCCATAGGCCAACATTAGAGCCATTTCCCCTACGTTGTCATTATAACTATTTTGAGTTATCAAAAACTTAAAAATGCTTTTGTTTAATTTATTTTATTCGGATGTATGGGATGTTCATGCTCAGCAAACGCAACAAATCATAAGTTTAAAACATTTCTCAAAAACATAGACAATTTATAAAAAAAAAAAAAAAACAGTATTGAGGTATGGATCAATTACATTAGACTTTTAGGAATTTTTTATATATTATTCAATGTTCTTCAACCAACTGTAACACACATTGCTTTTGTTCTTCATCTTTTATAAAATTTGAATTAAATTTGGAAATCAATGCTTTACCACACTCCGCATTATAATTTACTCCTTTGAAGTACTCCACTGTTCTGTATGGAGTTCGAGCAAGGATTCAGACATTTATTAAGCTTTACATAATCTTCAAATACCATCGCTGTCTTGTACAAACGACTTATTCAAAATTTAAATATTTAAAGAAATATAGAGATATGTTTCAAATATAACTAAAATCTGTAAAATGAAATCCAATTCGAATGTGTCAATAATTCGTATTGAAAAAGCATAGTATTGCTAGCGTAGTTATCTGGGGCCGAAAAAATTTATACTCATTTGAGTTAATTAACAGCACTTGGAAGAGGTTAAGCATTTGACAAGATTGTTATCATAATATCGAATTTAACTTGGAAATTTGAACAAAATCAGAGGTAGAGATAATTTCTCACTCCAAGCCCAAATGCATCTGTTCCGTGTTGTGTAGGCCATATTGGGGATCTGGGTGTGGTTGCCAAGGACAATATATTCTAATCCCATTCCAGTTGAAGAACCGTTGAGGGTATCATTGTTCAAATAAAACAAATGTTTAGCTAAGTTAGCATACAATTGCTGACTCGGGAAATGTTAAAAGGATACTATGTTCGGACATCCGTAGTAATAATCAAGATCATTTGTAGGAAAGGTTTTGTTTAATAAATAATCACTCTAATCAAAAATTTCATCAGGTCAGTTCATAATCCAAACTAATCGCACACTAATCACAGCACAATGTCTCTATTTAGACCAATCCGGCCTTGGTGTTGTAGAAGCACTCGGTCATCTTGAAGGCGGTATCGCAGGCATTGGCACCCTTCTGGTTGCACTTCTTCAGGGTAGCTTCAACCTTGGACTTGTCGTGATCGACCGACAGCTTGTCAATGACGGTCTTCTCCTGAACCTCACCCTTGTCGTTCATGAAACCGGCCTTCTCCAGCACACACTTCGAGAAGCATTTAGTCTTCTCATCCGCTCCGGCAAACTCGCCCTTCTTCAGCTTAACTGGAGTATCTGGGGCGACTCCGGTCGATTTGACGCATTCAGCAGCGTATGTTTCAGCCTTCTTTTGCTGGTCAATGGTTAATGCCTGTTCGTGGATAAAAGATGTGATGAATTCGGATAGAATACTCTTTGTAAGATGATCTTACCCAAGCACCAGCAGCCAAAGCAACGACAGCGATAGCAACGAAGAACTTCATTTTGAGTTGAGAACAGGTTGTTGTTTGAATGCTGCAAACTGAATGATGACTTCCAACTGCCCGGTTAGGCTTTATATAGGAACAATCTTCCAGCCACTTCGTTCTAGATATCCTTCTAATTGCACTTTTCGCTTACTTACGGATTCAAGGAATGTTAGTTTTTCTACTCTTCTCCGATGCTAAACGCCAACTAATCGTCGTACAGATTGACACTGATTTCCTGGTGTTCTTGATTGTTCCAGAGAAAATTGAACGCCGGCTGTGTCGTGCAAAATGTCAATAATTACACCGGATCGGTAGCAGCGGAAATGGCCGCATCACCGAACTGAGAAAATCATGTCAGGAACACAGCAAACCGCAAGGCGGCCTTGAACTTGAGGTCCACTCTAAGCTGCATAGACGCCGGTTTGAATGTAACTTTGTCGCACCCGGTCAGCTGTTCATTAGTCGCGGTTAACCACAGTTTAGCCGTTTCGTTTAGCTATTTCGTCTCAGGTAAGCAGCAGGGTTAGAAATATAATAAATCATGCATGCACCTATAGTATGGCACGAGCAAGCCCTCTATCACACTGCAACTTTACGCGGTAAGCGCCACTTAGGGGAGGCTGGTGTAAAGCGTGCAGTTGCAAATTACCCATTACAAAGATCTTTTTTTTTTATATTATTAAAATCCATTTAACCTTCTTGGGCCATTCGTGTCTTGTACGGGGTTAGTTTTAAACTCGTGATTTTAGCGGGCGCCGTCCCTATTTTTTTTTTTTATTTACATAGATATATCTTATAAATATTCTATAAAAGGTAAGTAATAAAAAATATGGAAGACCTCTAATTGACGTTTTACACCCATTTCCCCAATATAGCTTACACAACACGAAACTCTAGATGCATTTGTGCTTGAAGTGAGATATAATCTCAACCTCTGGTTTTGTTTAAAATTTCAAGTTAAATTCAATATTTTGATTACAATCATTTCAAATGCTAAACCTCTTCAAACAGCTGCTAATTAACTCAAATGAGTGTTAAATGTTTCGGTCCAAGATAAAACTACGATAGCAATACTATGCGTTTGTAAAGCGTATCATTCAGGGAACACGCTTTCGTTTCTTAGCCAACGTTTTTAATTTTTCGTTGTGGCAAATTTTACTATATCTTTTATGGGTGTAGTTGCAGTGTACCATTGAACTAGCTACATTTTATATGTGACTAGTCTTTGTCATGATCTCCCTCTTTTTAGTTTTGTTTCATTTGCTTCAGAATCCTTTTTTTTTATAATGTGAGATGTCTATAGATAGATGTGTAACAGAAACTCCCAAATTGATCACTGCCAATAAATCTGTTTGCTGAGGAGCAATGAAATAAAATCATAATTGAATTGAAAAAAATAATTGAAAACCAACAATTGAATATTAAAAATTTGCAACAGGAAATAATTTTATCGTCACACGGTTTTTATTTTATTACCAGGAAAGGTTCAAATAAAATAAAATAAAAGTGAATATTTTGAAAGGATTTTCAAAGTCACTCCACCATATGATAACCGTAACTAACATCTATGTTGAATAAGTCCACGACAGCTGCTATTTGCATAGGTGACCTATAAACAAGCAATAGCACCATTTTTTTTCTTGAAATTGACGATACTAACGTTGCAGTTCAGACCTTCTCGAATAATGTCAGCTACTTTCAACTAGAAATGCTCTAAGATCCTAGATCATATATTCAACCAGGTTCAAAAAATGTTTAAACTGATGGTTTTAAATTAAACATCAGGATTGCTGCAATCTTGCAATCAATGTTTAGATATCTATCGGTAAATGGTGAACTGTATTTCAAGCAGAAATAATGTAAATTATAAATTGTGGATTGCTTATGGCATAACTTTATACATCCAAATATATGTATTTTCTCTGACACACAACCTGCTCTAAAAGTATTGCAGTCAGTTACCTGTTCACCTAAATTGGTTGTAGAATGCATTCAATTGCTGCAACAGGCTATTTTGCGTACCTGGGCGCTATGGCATTGAAGGTGATGAGTATGCAGATTTTTTTGCTAGATTTGGATCATCGAAACCACTCCTAGGTCAAAAACCATTTTGTGAGGCCTCAGAATGTACCCTCGAAATGGAACTGCGAAGATTCAATGATATATGACATCTGGAAAAATACTATAGCAGCCCGACAATCTTAAAGATTTATATCACCTAATAAAACCGATTTCTTTGTGTATCCAACATAAGTTAATGTACTTTAAGCAGGTTAATAACGGGCCAGTAAATATTATTAAAAACCATTAGGATAATTGAAAGATGACACATTTTGCTTCTGCAACCTAGATAATGCTACCGGCGTGCAACATTGTGTTGCTCAAAATATTTGTATGTGGAGTAGGTCCAATAAATTGTACAGGCTAAAAATAACGGCCAATTCATAATGGGCAAGTTCAATATCTAATCGTGTGAATCGCGTGTGATGGTTGAGTAGGAGTAGGTAGGAGATAGAAATGAATGTTACCTACGATCTTGGATGGATGAAAAAAAAAACGGAACGGCAATAAGAGCAGGGTGATAGACAGCACGTCTGACAAACGAGATTGATTATGCGGTGAGCCCTCGAAGAATTATAGGGCTTTATTATAGACCTGTCAATGTGCTGCCATGTTGTATCCAAATCGAACATTTCCCATACGATTTGAAAGTTTGTTTGGATACGTCAACTCATTTTGGTCAGTCCATAACTAGACTGTCTATAGTCACTGTCAGTGTCACTGAAATAATGAATGAATGTGACAGTGTGTTTCCATTCTATTCCATCTTTTTATTTATGAACACCCACCCCCGGATGCAGTTTTAGAAAGGATCAGGTAAGCTATAAGGTATGTTTGTTTCATTTCTGAGTCTCAATATTATATTTGTGTAGGCACTGCAGTAATGCTGTTTTGACTAGTCCAGGTTGAGCGGTCAGAGTTTCCCGGTGGTTTAGCCGGGTGGTGACTCTTTCGATGCGCCGGATTGCGTGGCTAAGTCTGAAGCTCTATAACAAGAAATGTTAGTGAAATTTCTTTCTTCAAACTAACTTGAACATCTGAAAGTCAATGCAGGAGTGCAGAAACTAATAAATTTCGGGGTAGTTTATGCAGTCAGATGTTTCACTGAGTTTCACAATGGTTTCTTGTTTTCACGAGAAGATTTCCGACGTCAAATGTGAGGTTGAATGGAGGAGGATGACATAATAAATTTGCTTTACTGTCAGTATCAGCAATGTTGGAATTTCGTTTGATAACTGCTCCAGTAAACCATAACAAATACAAAAAACTCTATTTTACTGAGTTTTAGTCATTATCCGCAAAGCTGTTATTTTACGATACGTTCAGTACTTACTCTTACCGTATTCAGTAGTTTTTCGCAAGAGCTACTTATCGTCAGTTGTTTTATTGAGAATAGCTGTATGTTCGGTAATTTTTGTGATTTACAGTTCGAAAATTACCGAGCAGGGATCCCGTGATTAAGTGTGTGCTGCTCCAAATCGTTCCAAAACCGCTGGTCAGAACCAATCCGTCGATGATCCGAGTAAATCCATCACTCCTTCCTCGATTTCAGCCTTTACGCACTTTTTCTCTTTCATAAATAAATTTAAATGGAAAAGCCATAAAAGTATTTGGACTAATCATTATGTTGAGTTCCATGTGATTTAAGCAATCGCACGATGTGATCATTGGAACTGAATTTGTCCACCACTTCTAAAAATCTGCTAATTATCAATTTTATCTAGATGAACGCGATATTGGGACGTCACTAATGGATATTTTTGGTTGCTATTGAAAATTTAGTCGATTGCTGAATTTATGTATGGGCCCAAATTAGGGACACTTAGGCCGACATCTATATCAATATTTTGCGAATTCCCCAGTGGAATCTGAATTTCACATGTTTGTTCATATCTTCGGAACCATAATTTTGATCGAAAAAAATAGCAATCTATGGGGATCTGAAACAAATCTTCAAATTGGTCCAGCCATCTTGCGAAAATTGAGTGAGTTACACTCATACGAACTTACATACATACATACATACATACATACATACATACATACATACATACATACATACATACATACATACATGGGCTACAAATGGTGAGTTGACAACCTAGCTCTGGTTCTCACAAGTTCCTACCTCACACCTCCCCGTGGTGTAGCCTAGGCAATGTTGTTCTTCTGACAATAGCAAAGTGAGGGGGTGCGACGCGAACACTGGCACGGTAACCATAACACGGCTATAGAGGAAATGGTTCGTCAACCCGCATGAGTGCCAACCGGCACATTAGGATCGACGCCAGTAAGATCCTTATTACGGCATACTGGACACGGCATGGAACTATGGACACGACACGGTACAATGGATTGTATACCACGCTACAGGGCTGACAGTCGTGCTATTCTGCTCCCTAAGTAAAGAAGGGTGACACCTTCTTGAAATGGCGAGTGGGCTAATAGGGCGGCTGACCCCATCCCGGTAAAACCTTGACAGGCCTCCGGATACGTTCAAAACTCGTCACCAATTGGTGATTGGTGAGTAGTAGGCTCAGATGTAACATTCCTGACTTACGCCGATCTGGCTCTGAACACGGCCCCCATGAAGGACCGTGTCAACCCTAGCATGGCTTCCCTGCTTGCATAGATAACCATGGGATCACGATAGGAGACTACATACAACGAATGGAGATAGCGGCCCGAAGGGGGGACCCATCAGAATGTATAAAATTGGAGAAAAAAACAAACATAAAGAAAAAGAAAAAAACCAAAAAAAAATATGAAGAACGACGGCAAGACGCCAGACAGTGAAAACGGAGGAGCGAACGTGTTCGCAAGGAGTGGGATATTGCAGAAATCACCAGTGTCGAACCTGGGGGGTCACTGCGAGTTCCAGGAGCAGCAGTAAGTTTCAAGAAGAGCAGCCAGGCGTTGGGCTAAGCCAGATATTCACACCAATATCCAGTAGTAGCAAATCCCAAGAACTGCAGCTCGGGA